AATCGAAATTTAAAGGAACGTGCTGGTCTATTAGAAATGCGTGTTGAAATGGAAATGAGACAAGGAAAGCGATACCACCATCATGGTGGATTTGGTCCTGCAATGGGTTTTGGTCATCAACGAGTTGGTCCAATGCCAATGGGTCCTCCTTATGGTGTAATGCCTAACTCGTTAAATGGAATGAATAGTATGCAGATTCCAATTGGACAAGGTCATCCTCCACCACAAACACACGTAATGGCTCCACCAATGCAAAACATATATTTTGTTTCTGCTGATAACCAACCTATGCCATCACAACAACAGATATTGTCTGCAGGTGGTGTGGTCCCATCTGTAAATCAAACAAATAATATATTTAGAGGTAATATGCAAATACCTATTCAACAACAACCTCAGCAGGTTAACAATGACAATAATAATAATGGTCTTGTTCCTGGAATGAACATTCCTACAATGGCAGGTGATGATGATCAAGAAATCATTGCTCACTAATATTTGTAGTCGATTAAAAACCTTATAAGCTTATCTAAGTTGATAATTTTGATACGACTAAGTCGGTTATTATCTTAAAAAAAAGAAAAAAAAAATTAAATCTTCCAATAATAAACTATAATCTGGAAATCCTTGCTGGCCACACTCGTATTTTATATTGTTTTATTTTACATAAATAAAAAAAGATAAAACGTCATTGTATAATGTCATTTATAAAAATTAAATGAAAAAAATAATATCGATATTTTACAAATATATTTCTACGTAATTATAAGAATATTTGCCATTTGTTTAGATAATAAATTTTTTGAGTTATTAGTTTGGCCAGAGTTTGGGATTTGAGCGTGGACAAACCCAAACTATAGTAGTTTAAAATTTGGGTGTGGACAACCAAAATTATAATAGTTTTGAATTTGGGCGGCGAGTATAGATAGACGTAGTCATTGATAATATGGTGCCGAAAATCGATTATTGTCAAAGCTTTAATTTTTCTCGTAATCGTTTATGTATTTCGATA